ATATGCAGGAATAATTGGTATTTTTGCCAACTTTCAATAGTCTTGTTATTATAGGATAAGTCAGTCAATAAACATTTATTAAGTATCTGCTATGTGCCAGACACTGTGCTAGGTGCTAGAGATACAAAAAGAGGCAAAAACCAATCTCTGCCCTCAAGGAGCTCACAAATCTGAGAGATTTGATCATAGATTTAGAGCTGGAAAGGACCTCAGTGGTCACCTAATCAAATCCCTTCATTTTAAAAATAAGGAAACTGAGGTCCCACAAGGGTGGTGTCAGAGGTAGGATTGGAACCCAGGTCCTCTGACTCTACAGCTAGTTCTCTTTCAACCATTCCTTGCTATTACTTACTTTTTTAAAATTGTATTTATTTTATTTTTAATTTATGAAATAAAACAAGCATTCCCACAGCATAATAGAATAAAAAAGATGATTGTACATGAAACTACAAATCTACTATATACAACTTGTTATTCCTTTTAAATACATAATAAAGTTATCATGTAAATTTTTTTCTCTTTTTTTCTTCCCTATCTGTCCCTCCACCCTAGAGATGGCTACCATTAGACATAAATATGTGTGTGTGTGTGTCTGTGTGTATCTGTGTGTGTGTGTATATACACATACACACACATGCACATATATATTATATATGTACATGAACTCTTTCTTATGCATACTTCTATTTATCAGTTCTTTCTCTGGATGTAGATAGTGTCTTTCTTCATAGTACTTTGTAGTTAATTTGGGTGTTTACAATAGTCAAAATGACTTAGTTGCTCAAAGTTGTTCTTGAAACAATTTTGCTGTTACTGTATACATTTTCTTGGTTCTGCTCATTTTGCTCTTCATTATTTCATGCAAATCTATCCAGGTTTTTCTAAGATCATCAGGCTCATCATTTCTTATGGCACAGTAATATTCCATCACAATTATATATCACAACTTGTTCAGCCCTTCCCCAATTGACTTTTACTGCAAGAAACTGTATTTGTCTCACCTAAAGATTGTCCCCTTAAACACTCACCAGAATTAAAACATTTTAGAGGTGGAAGAGATCAGAGAAACCAAAGGACAATAGATTGAGAACTCAAAGGGTCCAGCTTCCTCATTTTATAGAAGGGAAATCTAAAGCCCAGAGATGTGACCTGATTTTGCCCAAGATCACATAGCTCCTTTGTGACAAAACAGTGATTAAAATCCAAGTCTTCTGACTTCCTAGGAAGTATGTTTTCCCCTACACCCTGCTGCCTACACAATGAACAGGAGCTGGGGAGAGGGAAAAAAAATAAAGGTCTTGATAGGGCAAAGTTCTTGAATGAATTGTACAATACATAATACTGGCATTTCAACTGACTTGGTTTCTTTCTGTTCCTGTATTCTTAACTATAGGGGATTTGTTTCTTTTTCACATCTGGCCTAGGGGAAACAAAATTGCTACCAAATATAGGATGGAAGTTTTTCTTGACATTTTTAGATTCTTAGCTCCTAGAGATCCATTAACCCCAGGGCAAATGGCACAAAACCACAAATTCTGGTGGAGAGGGTAAGAAGCCATATAGAACTGGGGGTGGGAGCCTGGAAGGCCTGAGACACAAAATTCTAAAGTCCTATTGAAAGTTTATGAAAGATTGTGGGTGAAGTAACAAACAGGGTAGCTAAGTGGCACAGTAGATAGAGTGCTGGGCCTGGAGTCAGGAAGACTCCTCTTCCTGAGTTCAAATCCAGTCTCAAATACTTTCTAGCTATGTGACCTTGGGCAAGTCATTTAACCGCAGTTTCCCCACCTGTAAAATGAGCTGGAGAAGGAAATGGCAAACCACTCCAGTATCTTTGCCAAGAAAAGCCCAAATGGAGTCACAAAGAATACGAAAAGACTGAAAAACAACTCAACAAGAAGTTGAGACAGAACAAGGCCATTCCATCTGTGGCTGATTCCTCACAATGCCCTCAAGAATTTCTCTCACAAGATTTAGTGAAATCAGAGCAGCTAGGTAGCACAGTCGATAGAGCTCCAGCCTTGGAGTTCAAATCTGGCCTCAGACACTTGATACTTACTAGTTGTGCGACCCTGGGCAAGTCACTTAACTGCAATTGCCTAACCAAAAACAAACAAAAAAAAATTTAGTGAAATCTAACATTTGAGCATTGGAATTGAATCCTACAAGGAGTCCCATGCTTAAAAAAAAAGGGGAACAGGAAATCAGGAATGCTAAATTCCAGTTCCAGCCCTGTTTCTTACACTTTGCTCCCCTCCGCACACTGTACAGTACAATGACACTAGCCTTCTTGTGGTATCTCCTACGAGACATCGCATTTTCCCTGGTTGTCCCTCATGCCCAGAATGCTCCCCCTCTTCCTCCTGGCTTCCCTGGCTTCCTTTGAGTCTCAGCTAAAATCCCACCTTCTGCAGGAAGCTTTCCCCAATCCTTCTCAGTGCTAGTGCTTTCCTGAGATCGCCTCCAATTTTGTCAGTATGTCTATTGTTTGTACAAAGTTGCTTGCATATTGTCTCCCTCATTAGAACATGAGTATCTTGAGGGAAGGGACTGGTTTTTGCCCTTCCTCGAAATCTAAACACTTAGCACAGCACTTAACAAATTTTTATTAAATCACTTGCTGAGTTGTTTGGCCAAATCCACGTGCCACGTGAACCTAAAATGTCCAGAGGTCCCCAACTTATGTTCTCTCCTCCATTCAGACCCAATGCTTGTATAGAAGGCAGAATGCTAGTGCCATTGTAATAGTTATGGAATCATAAGATTTAGAACCAGACAAGATCTTGGAGATGCCCTAGGTCAACCTTGCAAGGTCTCCTCGGAAGGGACTAAAGAGGGAAAATTAGAGTTGTTTTTTGTCCAACTATGTCTAATCTTAAGGGGCTGCTGCTGAGGGTCAGAATGTGCTGCACCAGCTAGCTACCTGCTTTGTACCTAGATACCATGGTTTGGACCAGGGTGCAGCCTGGGAGGAGCCTACTACCTCTGATGAGCAGACGTAGGCTCCCTGTTATCACACTCTTTACCTTGTCAAATCCCCTAGACTAGCATGCCAGGGACAATTTTACTCATGGTTCACAACCAGGACCTCCCCACAAAAAGGTAGGAATGAAAAAAGGTACTTAGGGGCAGCTAGATGGCCCGGTGGATAGAGCACCAGCCGTAGAGTCAGGAGATCCTGAGTTCAAATCTGGCCTCAGACACTTGACACACTCAGACACACTATCTGTGTAACCCTGGGCAAGTCACTTAACCCCATTGCCTAGCCAAAAAAAAAGTACTTAGAATATAATATGAATCATGTATAAGAGAAGCAATTTATTCCTACAGGCGTAAGAAATGCTAAATATGAAAGACTCACAAATATATGCTAACAGAACAGGATTCAACAAAAATGTGTAGGTAATGTTACAGCCTGCTGAAAGACAGCAGAACATAAAGCAGTTTGCAGGACTGCTGATTATTCATTTTGGCTTGGCCTGGCACTGTCCAAACAACTCCCGGTACATGCCTGTTGATGAAATGACCAGACTTGGCCCAGTCCTCTTGTTGGTGGCCACTCTCTCTGACACTAAAGTTTCTCCTGTCATTTCACAGCTGCTATGGCCAGCCAAAGAGATCCAGGAGCTCTGGAATGCTTAGATCTACAATGGCTTCTAATCAGGGACATATCTACCCCAGAATACTTGTTCACCTAAAATAATGAGGTGGGAGAGGAGGTAAGCTCTGGCTTGGGCAGGACTTGTGTTTTAGATAACATGTTCATGGCCACATGGAGGCTGGAGTAGGTAAATGAGACCAGCTATGTCTCTCCACCCAATTCTGGGGAGGCATCGGGAAACAATCTGACATGAATCATAGCTGGAAAGGAAGAGAGAAAGTGGTGAGAGATTGGGCTGCTCCCTTTTATATAGGCACTGAGTCATCAGCCACATTGGCTCTGCAGCCAATAGGAGAAAATCTTCATCATCTCACAGTGATGAATCACACATGGCCAGAAGCAGGACCCCCAAAAACTTGGATGCTGAAAAGTAGGAATAGTGACTTTGAGTGTGCTGGGGGAGGGGTTATTCCATAGGGCCATTTCCTTTTGGAGGACTTTGCTTTGAGTGAGTAAATGTTGACAAAGTATAGCAGAGTAGGTACAGTTATAGGCTTGGAATGAGAAGAGATATGGGGTCAGGATTCTGGCTTTGACTTACTAATTGTGTGGCTATGGGTGAGTCACTTGACCTCTGTGAACATCAGTTTCTTCATTTCCAGATGAGAATGTGGGTTTTATTTAGGCATCTGCCAGATTAGATGGACACAGAGGTCCTTTGTAACTCTGACATTCTACGATGCTGTGATAATAACACTTGTATTACTATGGTTGTTGTGAGGACATTCCAATACTGACATCATGTAGCATGAACTTGAGACTGATGGCTCCATCCCTCTGCCCAATACCTATGTCCATGTTATTGATGTGAGTACAACTAAGTGATTTAGGATGAAGAGGAAGAAGAGCAATGTCCTCTAGTGTCATTTAATTCAAGCAGCCACCATTACAAATTATTTTTATTGATCTGATAGGATTGTAGATTTAGAACTGGAAGGGAGCTCAAACACCACTGTGATAGAATCTTATTCTAGAAATAAGGAAACTGAAGCACTGAGAAGTTCAATGACTTGCTATAGTCATCCAGCTAAGTGTCTGAGGTGGGATTTGAAACTAGGTCTCCCTAACATTAGGTCCAATGATCTATCCACTATACATTGAATCCCCAGGTATCCCAGATCTGAGGTAAATTGCATATCCTGCACATTATTGGAAGGAGGTGGGCAAGGCAGGGAGGACAGAACAATTGCCACTTTTCTGGCTCCTCAAAATAACTCCAACCTTGATTTTTGGTATCCTTCCCTCATCCTCACTTCATACCTCCTTGGCAGCTCCTGAAACAAAGAAAACCTCCTCCTCCTGTTCTCTCACTCCTGTTTCTTGCACTATTGCATTGTAGGGCATGACACCTCTTCACTGGGCTGCTTTTCATAACCGGCCACAACATGCACAAATCCTGCTGGAGAAGGGGGCAGATCTAACCCTGGTGGACAAAGACTTCAGAACAGCCCTCCACTGGGCTGCTCAGGTAAGAAAAAAAATAGCCTAGAATGAAACAGTGCATTCCCCCAGGGAGCCTCTATCTTTCAGGGAGAGACGACATGGATGATATGGATACATATAAGTTTATACAAAATAAGTATAGGCAAAATATATACAAAATAAATACAATGTAATGTAGAGCAGGGGAATGTCAGGAATGTGGAAGGAAGGCAGGTGGCACGGTGAATGGTGCACTGGGCTTGGAGTCAGGAAGACTCATCATTCTGAGTTCAAAAACAGCCTCAAACACTAGCTGGGTGACCCTGGGCAAGTCACTTAACCCTGTTTGCCTCAGTTTCCTCAACTACAAAATGAACTGGAGAAGGAAATGATACACCGCTCCAGGATCTTTGCCAAGAAAACCCCAAATTCGGTCACAGAGTCAGACACCACTGAACAACAAGAGGTATGTAGAACAAATAGATAAATAGAACATTTATTAAGCACTTAGTAGGTACTAGGCACCGTGCTAAGCTTTGAGGTATAAATACAAGCAGAGTTACCTGCTAATGGGGAAAGACAACACATAAAGGAAAACTGGAAAGGACTGGGGGTTGGGAGGACATGGAGAGGCAGAGTGAGGAATGAAGCAGTCTGGGAAGTGGTGGGTAGGCCTGGGCCAGGCAAGATCAGAAAAAAGGGACTTGGGCAGAGTCCAGAGTACCAGTGCAGAGGAGGAGGAGGTAAACTCTGAGTAGAGAAGCAGAGACATACAACAGGCTGGGAGGACTAACAGTTTGGGGGAGGGAGGGAATGACATGGTAGGGGGTGGAGTGTCAAGAAGAGATTTCTATGAAATCAACTTGGAAGTTGATTGTGATTGGAAAGTCTTTACATATCAAACAGAGGAAAGAGGAAAGATTGCCACTTAAGCTTCTTAAGCAAGGGAGCTGCATAATCAAACCTATGCTTAAGGAAAATCAATTAGGCAGTTATGCAGAGGATGGATTAAAGAGGTAAGAGACTGGGGCAGAGGGGTCCATCAGAAAGCTTATTGCAATAGTCCAGGTAAGAGGTGATGAGGGACTGAAATACATATAGAGTGCCAGAAAGGGGATGGATGTGAGAGACATGGAGGTAGAACTGACAAAACTTGGAGACTAATTAGATATGAGGGATAAGGGAGAAAGAAGAGTCAAAAATGAGTCATCACAACTCAATTATAGAAGGGAGATAGGTTTTTAACTAACTAAAAAGAAAAATTCCCTGTTGATCAGAACTGACTCCAAATGGAACACATTGTCTTGGGAAGGAAGGAAGATGTTTTAAATATATGTAATTTTTTTAACAATATATTTTATTTGTTTATTTATTTTAAAAAAATTTTCCACAGTTCTATGTAAAAACAATTTTAACATTCATTTTTTAAAACTTTGAGTTCCAAATTCTCTCCCTTCCTCTCTCCTTACCTCACCCCCATTGAGAAGGGAAGAGGTTTGATATAGGTTATACATACATAGTCATGCAAAACATATCCATATTAGTCATGTTGTATCATTAGCTTTCTTCAAGGAGAGGTCTGATGACTATTGAACCGGGTAACTTTTTACAAACTGAACAGCTTTTCTTTCTCCCTCAAATCACACTGTCACCTACCTAGGCTGCCTGCTCCTTGAGCAGGCCTTGATTTTGTGCGTTCAAAGAATCATAGCTCCTTTTTCTTCAGTGACATTAGCCTTTCAGTCTGTTTCTCAGGAGAAGATTATTACTTTTGTCTCATAGTTGAAAACCTGGATTGCCCAGAAATTTAAAGGAAAATAGTGATGGAGAAAGAGAGAAGAGGAAAGGATGGGTGGAGCGCTACTTGACCTAGTAAACAGTTTGGACACTGGCTTCCAGTAATGATTGGACAGCTCTGGGGTGGAGCTCACTGACCAGTGTGCCCACAACACCCAGCAACAGGGCCCTGTTTCTGCAGAGCAATCCATTAGGAGGGATCTCCTGGATGGTCCTATTGAATTGATCCAGTTGTCATTGAGATGATTTTCCTTACTTTTTCCTCCCCACCCTGGCCCCCAGCTAAATGAGAGCTAGCCCTGGGTTTACACATCATGAGAAAGGGGCCCTTGCTGACTGCATCAGGCATAATTACCCCAGATATACATTAACTCAGTGATTTAAAATTAAACTATGCTCATGGGCTCCCTGAGCAAAAGTTTATAAAAGAACGCCTTTGTGTTTTGTTGGATACGCAAAGTATCTTGAGCCCCTTCTCAGCATTTCCTTGGTTTACTGTCATGATTGAGGTATAAAACCTTAGTCCATTTACAACTGCCCTCCAAGCTAACCCGTCTTAAAGGGCTTTTGGTCAGACCTGCTCACATAAAGAAACAGACATTTTCAGGCTTTTATTGGGCCAACAACCATCTAACTCTCTAGGTCCAGCACTTTCACTTACACTGATTACCTTCCACAGCCCTGCCTCACTTAAATCCAATTCACTTGCAAGTCATGACATCACCTTCCCAATGTCACAGTCCTTTTCAAGGATGAAGGACAAACCACAATTTGGCTTAGGGACTTACCTGGCCCCTGAGCCCACCTTCGGACTGGGGGCTCTAGCTTCAGTGACCTCACTTCAGACTCCTTGGTTCTTAACCCTGCCATAACATTGGAACTCTGAATTTTGTTCTATTAATTTGGAATAGGGGATAGGGCTAGGGATAGCATAGCACCTGTGATTTCACTGGTATAGGGAACTCCCTGATGAGAGAGCCCATTTTACCAATATGGATCAATACCATTTCTACAACTTACTGAATTGGAAAATTGCTGAGAACACTGACAGATTTGCCCGAGGTCATATAGCCAGTATGGCATACTTATGAGGTGTACAGGGAAGACCAGAACCTCTGGTGTGAGGGCTTTCTGAGCCCTTTTCAGGACTACTCACGCACTTTTGCTGTCTACCTGTCACTCAGCTCTCACCTGTAGCTCCAAGAAGCTGTAGCACGGGCAGCAGTCACACTCAGATGTCAAACCCATTGGTCAGTGAGAGGGTGTCTATCCCAATCATGTGAAGACTTTACCCAGCTGAATAGGCAGATGAGAACAATTTGTTCCAACCACCATGAAGGCAGCTGAAGCAGGTGGAGCACTTTGAGCTCAGTCAGACATCAAAGATGCCAAAGTCATCCATCGCATCCCAGGCCATCTGGCCATCTTGACTTTTGTCTTGCCACTGGACTTTGATGACTCTGGAAGACAGAGTAAGGCTGACGACTTTGTGCAACTCTGCCTCACTTAAAGCCAACTCACAAGAAAGTCAAGACATCACCCATGATGTCATTGATCCTCTTTGAAGATGAAGGACAAAAACAACAGCAATACCATACCAGATACTTAAATTTAACATTTTTGGTCCTGTCCATGCCTGCACCTCTAGACTTGGTAGTCTTGAGCATACTCCCAGGCTTTAAAGCTCTAGTTTCTAGTTTCACTCTGAACTCCAGAAGAGATAATGAGGAAGTGTGCAATGTTTCTATGGCCATTTCAAGTTCATTGGTCTACAGCTTATGAGTGGCCACAGATCTTCACCACAGTAAGACAGTATGGTTTAGGGGATGGAGGAGTGGCCTTGAAGTCAGGAAGACCTGGCTGTGAATCCCTTTCTCAAATACTTACTAGCTGTATGAACCTGGGCAAGCCACTAATCCTCTCTCAGTCTCAGTGTTCTCATCTGTAAAATGGGAACAACGATAGTAGGCCCCTCACACGGTCAAATAAGATACATATATATTTACATGTCTATACATATATAATATATATATATATATTTATGTGTATGTATATAAATATATACATATATAAAGTGCTTTACAAAGCTTAAAGTGCTACTTATATGTTAGTTATTATCATTTCAGACCTCCCTCCAATGCTTTTGAGAAGTCACCATAGAATGTTCTTTTTTGAGATGCTTTGGCAGAGCTGTTGTGTCTAAATTCTAAAAAAAAAAATCCCTTAACTAGAGCTCCCCACTGGCACTGGGTTAAGCCTAAACATCAAAGCACCAGATTTTCACCTCCTGTCTGCAGTATGCAAACTGTAAGATCCAATCCAACATCCCTGAGGAGGGTTTTCTCGTAGGATCATAGACCAGGGACCCTAGAGACCATCTAGTCCACTGTCCCCCTCATTTATTACAAATGAGGAAACTGGGAGAGGGTAAGTGATTTAACAAAGGTCACATGGGCAGTAAAGAATAAAGGCAGGCTTTGGACCCACACTGTATGATTCTAGTTACCAATACTCATTCCACAGTCCCAAGCTGTCTCCCCAGGATTGCTAGCTCCATCTGACTGATAGGGCTGGGCTTAGAAAGGCAAAGAGTCACAGTACACACGAGTTTCATGCCATGAATCAACACTTTAGAATTTCAGGTGTTCGGTGATCGTATGTCTTTCTCCACGCGCTCTGACCAAACCCCTCCAGGCCTTAGGAGGCACTTTATCATCATGTCACTGCTGCAAGAAGAAAAAAAGGTCATTGGTAGCCAGGTGGCTCCGTGGATAAAGTGCAGATGTTAGGGAGACCTGAATTCAAATCTGGCCTTGGATACTCACTAGCTGTGTGACCCCGGACAGTCACCCCAACCTCTGTCTGCCTCATCTATAAAATAGGGGATAATAATAGTACCTACCTCACAGGGCTGTTGCAAGGCTCAGTGAGATAAAAATTGTTAAGGGCTTACTACAGTGCCTGGCACATAGCTCTGTACAAATGTTATCTATTATCATTATTAGGTAACCAAGCTTTTGGAGTTTAGCTAGGTTGGTTCTCAGACAACTGGAAGATAGTCACTGAGCTCATAGACAAAATTAGACAGAACCTGCCAGAACCTGAACTCATTCTTGATTAGAAATTCTTTTCACCTGAGATATGGAGAGAGGAAGCAGATAGGGAGGGCTGGCAGCTGTCAGTGATGCAGAGGATAGTAGGGATGGGGACAGTATGGGAGACAGTCCAATCACGGAGAGTTATCCCAGG